ATAAAGCCCTGGCAGTTTGAGGCGATGGTGGGAGTGAAACCCAGGATTCTGAGTCTATCTCCACGGGGGGACTGCAGGTTTTCTGATCATCCTGTCCTCATTTGGATTGCCTAGAAACACGGGGGCCAAAATGGCGCTAGAGACACTAGTATGGTGTGCATGAAAATTACCAGTTCCAGAAATTCAGCTGCATCACAGCCCAATCATTTCCATGATCCCAGAAATGGTGGTTTTATACATTTGGAGTTAATTAAACAATTTTGCTATCTTATAAGAAATTCAGGATAATTACAATGGTTTATCCTGTAGATCCAAAGAGGGCAATGGATTCTGAACCAAAAATACAAACGCTTGACTTGAAAACAACTTCAAAAGGTCCCCAAACTCAATGAAACCTACAAATAATCCACAGGGTTTTCTTGGACCCCAGATTAAGAACCCTTAGAAAAGAAACACTTAAAGTTTTTCAGTTAAAAGTCCAAGGTTTAAATCATGGTTCCATCACATACGATGTGTATGATCTTGGTGCAGCTTCCAAACATCTGAGCCTTCATTTCCTCATCTATGAAATGGAGCTAATACCTCCTGCTTCATAAGGTAGATGTGGGATTAAAGGAGAAGGGAAGTCTCATAATATGCCCCAGGGTTTGCAGTCTATCGCAATCGCTAATAGATACAAGGACTTTCTAAGTACCAGGCTCTGTCCTTTTACTACATCCGAACTATCATCTCAGCAGCCCCAGAAGCCAGGTTATTATCCCTGGTTTACAGAAGAGGAAGCTGAGACAGTGAGTTGGGGACGTGTCCAGGATGGCAAAGCTTCTAAATGGCACAACCAGATAGTGGACACCAGAGTCCATGCTCTAAATCATTTACTATAGTGTCTCATGGAGTGACAATTTAATGTACTCCAAATATGTGGTTATTACAAACAATTTTTTAATCAGATAAAGAAGACTAGAAAGAGACAGATCTTAGTGAAAAATGAGTTCACCCAAAGGCCTGTTTGCAAACCTGCCCATTTCACCTTTTTCTAGGGACTGAGACAGAAGCAGCATCCTGAGCCCAGGGGCAGCAGATGCCCCTGAAGGTCAGTCTCATCTAGGTTCCTTCAGATACATGTTTACACATGCCGACGCTGTCTTCAGATGCTCTCCGTGAATCATCTCATAATAATCAGTGCTCATTACAGTCCTGTAGGGTAGAGACTACCACTAGCCCCATTTTGCAGATAAGGAAACAAACATGTTAAAATCTCCTCCAACACCAATAATTAGGAAGGGGAAGATCTGGGAGGAAATCCCAAGTGAGTCTGAGACCAAAGCTCTCATCTGCCACTCTAAAATATTGCCCACTGCAGGGTCTCAGGAACAGATTCAGTACAATATGATGGTTAAGATCAGAGGCTTTGGGGTCAGACACAAGTAAGATCCCTAAGAAGGGATCTTAGGGAAGGAGGTTAAACATGCACAAGCCACATACTGCACACCGGAGCTCACTCTGCCTGGGGTGAACCATTTGGATATGCTGGGACTCATCAGAGAAGCTGTCCCAAGGACGAAGGAAAGAAGTAGAGAAAGTGGATGTGAGAGGAGAGGGTTAGTGGACAAGTCAGTTGACACTTTAAAAAAGGAGATCAAGGACCTGAACTCCAGCTAGAAACAGCAACCCATTTTGATTTCCAGAGCCCCAGGGAAGCTCAACCACCGATCTCAGCACCCAGTGCTCCAGCATAAACATCAGCAGAGCAGAACAGTCCCTTGCCCACCCTCCAGCCTGCTGAACCAGACTCCTTCCCATGAATCTGGCCTCAAGCTCAGCAGCTGCAAGTCAGTAGGGCAGGTTGGCAACTTTCCAAAGGAAGAAGCATACAGGGCAATAAAAAAGCTGACACCCTCTTCCACATACACATCCATATGCTCCCCACCTTTCTGTAAAATAGTGACTACCCTTGGCCACACAGCAGAATTACCTGAGGAACTTTTTTTTTTTAATGGCAGTACAAGTACTGGAGATGGGTATATCAAAAACTCACCAGGTGGTCACAATGTGCAGCCAGATTTGGGAATCCATTCTTAATTCATCACCCATGGTGTCTCCTCTGGGACAGACGGCCTCTTAGACCCCTGCTACTCAAAGTGTGGTCCTCACAGCCTCTGCACCAATATAGCCTAGGAGCTTGTTAGAGATGCACAATCACAAACCCCAGCCCAGTCTCCTTGAATCTGAATCTGCATTTTAACAAGATGCCCCCGGATGATTCATCTGTACAGTAAAGTTTGAAAGGCACCAGTTTAGACTTTGGCTCTTTCTACCCACACACCACCCCTTCCCATCTGTACAATCAGCAGCTGTTCAACTGTTCACCTTGCTCAGCCTGATCAAGAACCAAGATGAACCGCCGGAGTTCCCAAGTTCTAGTGTGTCTCAGCAGCACCTCAGCAGCTCACTAGAAACAGACATATCCAGGCCCAGGTACCTGTTTAACAGGTACTCCATAGAGGCGGGCCAGAGACCATGAGTGGGAAAGCGACTGTGGTAGAAAGCCCACAGGCATAGAAAGCAGGTAAACTACACCCCAAATTCTGGCTCTGCCACTTGCCATCTATGTGAGTTGTAGGAGTCATCCACTTCTCTGAGCTTATTTTCTCATCTACAAAAATCAGAATAAAGACATCTCAGCCGTGTTATATAGGTTGAATTGTGTCTTCCGAAAATATATGTTGAAATCGTAACCACCCATGCCAAAAAATGTGACCCTTAAAGAGAAACAGGGTTGTGGGTTGTTGCAGATGTAATTAGTTAAAATGAGGTCATAGTGGATGAAATACCATGGGCTCTTAATCCAATAACGAGTGTTATAAGAAAGCTCACAGACACATGGATGGGAGGGTGCTTTGTGACAATGGAGGAGAGGATGAAATGTTTTATCTACAAGCCGGGGAACACCAAAAATTGCCACAGATCACCAGAAGCCAGAAAGAAGCAAGGGAGGGGCTGGAGATGTGGCTCAAGCGGTAGCACGCTCGCCTGGCATGCCAGGTTCGATCCTCAGCACCACATACAAACAAAGATGTTGTGTCCGCCGATAACTAAAAAAAATAAATATTAAAATTCTCTCTCTCTCTAAAAAAAAAAGAAGAAGAAGAAGCAAGGGAGGACTCCCTGCTCCAGGTTTCATAAGAAGCATGACCCTGCTGACCTTTCAGACGCCTGACCTCCAGAACAGTGAGAAACGATACATTTTTGTTGTTTTGAGCTACCCAGTGAGTGGTGCTCTGTGATGGCAACCCTGAGAAACGATACAAATGAGGTTCAAGGATTAGCCAGTCCATACAGAGAGTTCCTAAAAAAATAGGAGAAATTGTGCATAAGGGTGGGGGCATCCCCTGAACCTCACTTTCTGGTTTTCTGGGGGGGGTTTTGTCAACAACCAAAATGACAGCATTGCAGGTCTCATCCCTTCAAGGAGTCTTAGTTCCAGAGTGAAATGGCAGGCAAAATTCTTTGCAGAGCGACACATGAAGAAATTCAGTCCTCACACCAGGAGCAGCCAGACCACAGCTCTCAAACCAGAGTAGTGTGATCAAAACCTAACTCCGCCGGCGCCAACATGGTGGCAGCGCTGACATCCCTCGAGGTCCCAGCTACTGTCAGCAGCCCAGCAGGAGCCTCCACCCTGAAGTACTGGTTCCTGCTCCTACCCCCCCAGAGAAAAAGCATAAAGGCTAAATCAAAGAACTAGTCAGACTTGGAAAAGAAAAAGTCATGAAATCTTTGACGACTTTGAGTGATGCCAACTGGATGGGGTAAAAGAGAAAAAAAAAAGGTGCAAGGACAAGGCTATTTGAATATGAAAAGCAAAGAATTGCTCTTCAAATAAACGGGAGAATCGTAAGACACAATTCCTACAGAGAGAAGCCTTAGAAATCACCTCCCCACTGCTGAGAGGTCAACCAGATCTCCAAATCATTTTAGAGACAGAGAAACTGAGGCCCAAAGCCTGGAAAGGCTGTCTAAGATCATGCAGGCCTATAAGTAACAGAGCAAGGCCCTGAGACTCCTGACTCCCAGCTGGATGCTCTTTCCTCTGTGCTAGAATTCCCGGGGCAATGCTTTATGCATTTGTTTGCATGTGATTAGCAAGTCCAAGCTGGGTTGATTATGAGTGGTTCTCTCAGGCGTAAAGCTATGAGAATGTGAAAGAAACCCCACAAGAGTGTGGCAGCAGGGATCCTGCCGTTGAAGTCAACACTAAGAGAAAATTTTTGTTTTGTCATTAAAAAAAAAAAAAAATCAGATCCAGAAACCCCCCAGGGCTTCTGGAAGCAACTCTGGACCACCTAAGCCCACCTGCAGACGTCTCCTTGGCATCATTGCTGCCCAGAAAGAGAACCTATTTGGGTTCCCCTTACCTTAGATGGTATTCTTTGTGATGGACTGAGATAGTTGTGTCCTCCCAAAATCCATCTGTTGAAGCCTTCCCTCCTAATGCTATTGTAGTAGGAGCTGGGGCCTTTGAGAGATAAGTTTAAATGATATCATGAGGGTAGAGCCCCCATGATGAGATTGGTGTCCCCAGGAAATATGAGAAACCAGAGTGCTCTCGGCCATGTGAGGGCACAGCAAGCAGAAGATCATCTGCAAGACAAAACAAAAGTGTCCTCACCAGAACTTGACCATGCTGGCGTCCTGATCTTGAACTTCCCAGCCTCTTAGAACTGAAGGAATTTATATCTGTTGTTTAAGCCATTCAGTTTGTGGTGTTTTGTTATAGCAGCATGAACAGACTGAGACATTCTTAGAGTATTAAAGTAGCTCAGGGCCTCTCTAGGCCGTAGGGCCTCTCCTCCATGGTTCTGTCTGTCAGTCGGGTTTCGGGAACCTGCCGATGAGGCCACGCCACGCGCGGATGCTTCATCCTTGAGTCCGTCACCTGTGGCGGGGCGGCCCGGGGCCCATGGCGCTGCGGTGCTGACAGAGGCGCGGGCGGTGACCAGGCCGGAGGGCCCGCGTGGCGGTCCAGTTCCGCAGCTACGTGTGGGACCCGTTGCTGATCCTGTCGCAGATCGTCCTCGTGCAGACTGTCTATTACAGCTCGCTGGGCCTGTGGCTGGCGCTGGTGGACGCGCTAGTGCGAAGCAGCCTCTCGCTGGACCAGATGTTCGACGCCGAGATCCTGGGCTTTTCTACCCCTCCAGGCCAGCTGTCCATGATGTCCTTCATCCTCAAGGCTCTCACCTGTGCCCTGGGCTTGCTGTACTTCATCCGGCGAGGAAAAGAGTGTCTGGATTTCACTGTCACTGTCCATTTCTTTCACCTCCTGGGCTGCTGGTTCTACAGCTCCCGTTTCCCCTCGGCGCTGACCTGGTGGCTGGTCCAAGCCGTGTGCATTGCACTCATGGCTGTCATCAGGGAGTACCTGTGCCTGCGGATGGAGCTCAAGGAGCTCCCCCTCAACTCAGCCCCTAAATCCAATGTCTAGAATTGGGCCCTTTGGACACTCTACTGGCACTTGGGCTCCCCAACTTGGGCTAATCAGACCTTCTGGATGAGGTCCAGCCCAGGTCTGAGAGGAAGCCTGGAAATGTGAAGTCTCTGTTGGTGGAGAGATAGTGAGGTCACGTCAAGAAGGCAGGTAGCAGTCAGGATCACAGCTGCAAGAATGGCCTCTGTCTGCTGAAGCCTTGGTATCTGGGAGGTCAGGAAGGGGACCTCTTTGAGGGTCATATCAGATTTGGAACCATGTCACTCTTGAGCCATCACACCTGTCACCAGCCTATTGTTTTAAAAAAGAAAAAAAAAAATCAAGGATATCTGATTGGAACAAACCACTCTTCTAGTCATCTGTCTTACCCCTGGACAGCTATTGCCTTTGCCATGTTGCGGAACCAGTGATTCTTTTTAGAGCAACAGATTTCTGGAGCCATAGCCACAGAAAGAGATCTAGTGCAAAGTACTATGCTACTGTCAGGGAGAGGGCGGCAGACGCAGACATCAAGCGCAAGGAGAATGCAAAGCCTGTGCCCTGTTACACACATACATGTGTGCACCCAAGAACCCATGATTAACTTCCTTCAAGTTCCCACTCCTGGGTCCCCAACCTGATGCCAGCCTTCCTCAAAGCAGGTCATAGGACCCAGAGAAGAATCCCATCATCACTTCCAGTCTAACCCTCATATTGGGGTCACTGCCTGCTCTCTAGGAATGACCAGGTTCCCAAGCTCCTACTGGATCTCAGTACTGGCAAGAGTTCCTTTTTTCCTATATTATTTGGAATTCTCTGGTGGGAAGGGCATGGTGGGTGCCCAGCTTTAGGAAGCCCAACTTTCCAGCCCAGGCTATGCTGATAGTGCTGAGGCAGATAAAAATTTGCTGCTAAGATTTTTCTTTGGGGTAGAATTTCCTGTGAGGGGCTTGCAGCTGTCCTTCCTGTGTACAGAAATACAGTATTTTCCATGGGAAAAAAAATAAATAAATAAAGTAGCTCAGATGGAGATTGAGCCCTCTGGACAAACCATCTGATTTCACACTAAAAGTCAGGTCCAGAAAGGGAAGGAACAAGCCCAGGAGCAATGCTGGGCAGGTACAGAGTCTACTTGAACTCGGGTCTTCTGGCTTTAACACCATATCCCCACAATGCATATCCCCCCAAAATTCATAGTTTGAGACTGTAACTCCCAATGTGCCTCTATTTGGAGACAGAGCCTTTAGGAGGTAATGAAGATTAAATGAGGTCATAAAGGTATGGACCTGATCCAACAGGACTGGTGTCCTAACAAGAGAGGGAGAGACGCCAGAACAGGTATGCACAGGAAAGGTCATGTGGAGACACAGTAGAGGGCAGAGGCAAGCCAAGGGGAGAGGCCTCAGGAGAAATCAACCCTGCCAGCACCTTGGTCTTGGACTTCCAACTCCCAGAATTGTGAGAAAATGAATTTCTGTTGTTGAAACCACCCAGTGTGTGGTACTTTGCTACGGCTGTGCCAGCAAACAAATGCAGTAGGGAAGAATCTCCCTCAGTTCCCTCCACCCAAGTATTGAGTGTTTATTATAAGGACACACCAATGGGGAGGTGGAAATTATTAGAAAAACCCAGAAGACTGTGATTCAGTAACTGGAGGAACCCAACACAGCAATGGGGAGCCAGCAACAGGAATTCCTGCATCTTCACCTGGCCCTTTTCACCCTGACAACACACCGTGATTCCACATAAGATTCTTCTATGGGCCTCCCTTCCTCTCCCATGAACTGTGGATTTAGACTTAACCCTGAATTCCCCAGCTGAAAGAGAGGACCTAATCCCTGCACTTAATCAATATCAGCTGGTGAAGCAAAGCCTCTCCCAGGCTGCCTCTCCAGTCTGTAACTAGACCAGCTATAGTCACCTGGCCCAAGGGCAATCAATCAGCTGCAGCTACAGAAAAGGAATCACAAGATAGTCTCTTTACTCACTGTGGCTCAGGACTAGCAGTGATTGCATGATCTGGGGGCTTGTTACAATGCAGAACCTCAGCCCCACCCAGTCCTGCTGAATCAGGTACAGATGTGTCTCCCCAGCAATTCAGACAAGTGTTGCTTTAGAAATGGCTCCTCAGCAGAAGTCCGTGGGACAGTTTCCTCAGAAGAGATATTGATGTATACTCCCTCTGAGGGCAGAAGTTCTCTAACTTTAAAAATTAACTTGAGCCAGCTCAGTGGTGCACACCTATAATCCCAGTGGCTCCGAAGGCTGAGGCAGGAGGATCGTGAGTTCAAAGCCAGCCTCAGCAAAAGCAATGCACTAAGCAACTCAGTAAGACCCTGACTCTAAATAAATTAAAAAATAGGGCTGGGGATCTGGCTCAGTGGTCAAGTGCCCCTGAGTTCAATATCCCCAGTATGCAAAAAAAAAAAAAAAGAACTTGAGAATCTCCTGGGAAGCTCTTCAGAAGGCACTTTGCTTCATCCTGCCCTCAACATCCCTAGGTCTGGGTTGGAGTCCAAGAACTTGCATCTACCCAAGCCCCCTGCACTCACCCACCACCCCAAGTTATGGACAGAAGATGGTTCGTGGGTCTCACTTAGAGAAACACCATGCAGGATAAAGATCTGAAGCCAAACCTGTGCCCCTCCATCATGCCTATGCCACCTGGAATCCCTTTACAATGCCAATTGCATTGGGTCATTCCCTCACCTAAAACCCTTCCTCCATAGCTCCTCATGCCTCTGGGACCAAGTCCCAGCTCCGGAGGGCTTTCATGTTATGGCCTCTTCCTTCTCCTGCTGCCATCCCTCCTGCTTAGGGCCCCACAGTTCGCCTCTGCACCCTTGCTATCACGGTTCCTCCTGCCTGACACATCCTTCCCCCTCCTTCTCCACGTGACCAATAGGCATTCTCCCTTTAAGACTCCAGTTTTATTCAATCTGGAAAGTGAGTCAATGTCCCGCGGTTTTCCTTCTTGCCCTACAAGAAGGGTTGCCGGTTCTCATTGCTGCCCTGTTTGACTCTGAACTCCTGGAGGGTAGCCTGGCTCTTGTCCATCTCTGATTCCAAGCCAGTGTTTCACATGACTGCAATTGGCTCCCGCTGCTGCCTGCCAACCTGCGTGAGCTGGGAGGGTGCCAGCTTCCAGAACCCAAGGCTCCTGATGAAGCAAGATGGAAATATTCAGGCAGACTCTCAGCAAAACTGCTCCTCTCTCCACAGTAGAATTAAGTGAAAGGCTCAAGCAACACCCATTGTTTAAACACTAATAGCAACACATTTCTGTGGCCCTGAGAGGGCCACAGGAGGGGTGTCTTTCCCAAGGACAGCACAAACTAGCTCCCTTTATTTCCAAAAAGGCACAATGAACCCCATTCTTTGGTAGGTGCCAGGAGACAGCCTCAGTGGAGTCAAGTCCAAGAAGCAGAGATATTCCCCTCAAATATAAGGATGAGAGGGTAGGAGGAGGGAATTCTCTATGAACTCACTAGGTCTTTGGGTCTTCACCCAGTACTTGTAATGCCCTACCCCTCCAAGGATAGGAAAGGGAAGGAAAATAATTAAACACAAACAGGCTGGTGTTGCTGCTTCTTAGCTGACAACTGAGATGATGGGGATAATTTTAATAGGATTAACTTACCTAGAGCTAATCCTCATATGGCCTGGTCCTTCCAGGAAGTCATTATTAAGGCTGGTGATAGGAGGAAGGGGACCAAAGGGTCTTTTAAAAATACAGGGCATGTGTTGGCACTCCAAACCAGTTAAATCATGACATCTAGAGGTAAGGCCTGGGCATTCTGAGTTTTAAACCAGATGATTCTAATGCCCAGGCACAGTTGGAAATGGCCTCGTTGCAGGGCTGGGGCAACAGAGTCAGGCGAGGGACCCAGGCGTTCATTCATTCACTCATCCTACTTCCCTGAGACCGGCTCCTGCCAATCACTGGGCCAAGTAAAGAAAATAACCATTGCACCCTGTCCCCCTCAGGCTCCCTTGGTTCACGAAGTTCGTGGTCTTCTGCCAGAGCCTGCAGCCCTGTTTCTGAGAACAAGGATATGGTGTCAGGGGACCAGGGATGCCATCTAAGACAGGGCCCCCAGGCTTTAGGAACTCTCAGATATGAACAAATGAAAAATGAGAAAACCAGTAATATTGGTTGAACGGCTTTTTGTTTTTCCAAAAATGGGAACATGATATTTTTTTAAAAAAAGAACTACCAGGGACCATTGAAATCAATTAATAAAATGAATCTCATTTTTAAGTCCTCTGGACTGTAAAAGCCTTTGGAGGAAGTTCTTACAATTTTTCAGTTTTTCAAAAACTGGCTGTCCAGGTTTTCCAGCGGCAGCCCAAAGCCAGGAATTTGGAATGGAATAATTATAACAGCAATGGATGGAGATACTGATGAATGCTTCTTGAACCCTGTGCTAACCATGTGTGTGCCAGGCCCTGCTGCATAGCACTTTGATGACCTCCTTGAATTCTCACAGCAACTCTGGGAGGTCCTTGTATCAGTTGGGGCTTAGAACAAGATACTAGAACAACTCTGGGTATTTTAAGCAGAAGATGGCTTTATAAGGCAAATAGGGTGTACAGAATCATTAGAAGAGCTAAAAGAGTTAGATGTGGTCTAGGAGCCCAGGATTGGTTTCCAGAACAATAATAAGTGGTCAGTTTTGAGAGATGCCATCCCAAAAGCTATTAATAGAATTACTAAAGCCACAACAGCCCCATTGCTATGAGCCAGAGATTGGAAACCAGAATCAAGACTCTTCTGTCCCCATAACCACTGCTCACCCAGGAGGTTGGAGACAGGACACTGCCGTGAAAGGCGACTGCAAAACCACTCACTCCCACACCCTCGTTTGACAGCAGGAGGTTCAAGAAGAAGGTCTGTGCTCCTGCCTCACTCGGCCATCCAGACCCTGGGCATGTATCTAATTAACAGACTCTACATTGCATCCTGAAGCCTAGCTGCAAAGGCATCTGGAAAATGTAGATTGTGGCTTTCCAGGCTTCATAGAAGAGGAAGGCAGCCTGAAAGGAGGGTGGAATGGAGACTGAGAAAGCCAACTCACAGCATTACTAGCCAATGCTTAGTAACTACGAGTAGTATTTCTATACTTACTGGTAAGGAAACTGAGACAGGGAGAGGTTAAATCATCTG